CCTGCTGCTGTTGCTGTTGTGGTCGGTTGCTGTTGCCCTTGTTGCCAACTTGGCCGGTGCAAGGTGGGGTTGTCGTAAACCCTAAACCCTAAACCCTAAACCCTAAACCCTAAACCCTACACCCTCCACCCTAAACCCTAAACCCTAAACCCCAAGCCCTAAACCCTGCACCCTAAACCCTCTGACCCCACGAACCCTCCTTGTCGGTGTACCTTAAACCCCGAACCCCAGCATCCTCTATATTAAATAGGGCCTTAATACCTTCCCTTCGGCGTTCCTTATTATGATTTTAGTATAATGAGCCCCAAATGACCTATTCTAAGTATTAAGGCCCCTAAACCCTAAACCCTTATAGTAGCCCTTTATAGAACCCTTTTAACGGATCCCTTTAAAGGAACCCCCCAAGACGCCATTCAAAGTATTAAAGGCCCTTTCTAAACCCTAAACCCGAAACCCTAAACCCAAAAGGTCCAAGTACTAGTATAGACTAACTTTTGGGGCCCAAATACCTACTAAGTACCTACTATAATGGTACTTGGACCCTTTTGGAAACCGTCCATTGGAGGGCCGTTGCCTGCGCAAGGCTCCGCCGGTGACGCTTGGCGATCTGTCCGACGGCCTGGTTGGACGCTTTTGCCAAGTTGAGGGCTTCAGAGTCTTTCTAAGGGATTTTTAAGGGTTTAGGTTTAAGGTTTAGGGTTTTGGGTTTAAAGGTTTGGGCTCATAATTAGGGTTTTGGTATTTAAAGTGTAGTAGCGCCCCTGTCTGCGAAGTTGCACTGGCCCTATTGGGCATGTTCATAGGGTTTAGGGTTGAGGGCTTAGGGTTTAGGGTTCTGGCCAGAAGCTTGAACCCTAAACCCTAAACCCTAAACCCTAAACCCTAACGAGTTCTGTCGAATGGCGTGGGTGTTACGATGCGAGGGCTTCTATGGGGGTTGAGGAAGGCTGGGGGTCTGTAGGGGGTTAAAGGCTTAAGCAGTTTTTGCGATTTGCAAGCACGGTTCAGCGTTATATTCATGTTATGCTGGTCCTCACTCTACGCAAAAACAAGAACGAACTCAATGAGCCCGCTCTCGGTATACCTGTTTGGGCTGCTGCCCACTACAGGAACTCGATGTACCTAGTTTCAACATCAGCTGAAACTGCAAGCAGGGCAGGGTGCGTGCACATAGACACACTGCAATGAAGGAACACTGTCCCACCGCCTGCCTGTAGCAGCTGGGGATGATCAGCAATGCTGGATCGCCTCCTGGATGGACGATACATCACCCATACCATAAGGGTCTGAACTTAAGACTGTGTTGGGGATGTCTATTGCTTTAGCTATGGTGGAACCCTGAGGATTCTAGCCATTCTAGCCCCAATGCGAATATGAAACGATCGAGTTTCTTAATCAGGTTCCTACATTAGAGAAGTACATGAGCTACAGTAGTGAAGCCTAAGCAGGACTCAACACCTGAGCAAAACCTCTCTCAACTCATTCTCTGCGAAGTCCTCGACCGCGGCTGACCTCGAGCGCGATGCAACAATCAGCCGTTCCGGTATCGGGCTTAGGGGTTTAGGGTTTAGGGTTTAGGGTTTAGGGGTTTAGGTCTTTAAGGCTTTGGGTTTAGGGGTTTAGGGGTTTAGGGTTTAGGGTTTAGGGTTTAGGGCTGGGGTTTTGGGGTTTAGGGGTGTAGGGTTTAGGGTTTATACAGACTTCTGTTCAAGGCAGATGACCTGCGAACTCAACATCTTGAACAAAACATGTACCAAAAACAGCTCCAAGCTCTAAACCCTGAGTCCTAAACCCAGTACATACCCTGAACCCTAAACCAACACACCTGAGACCATACACCCTCACCTCAAAGCCCTTCCTGGAGACTCCAAAACCCCTTATTCAAGGAATATACCTTAAACCATGTTTAGGCTTCTTATTATCGCTTAAGGTCTAATCCCTAAACCCTAAACCCTAAGGGGTTTTGGAGTCTCTTTTTGTAATGCCCGCAACTTCGCCGAGCTCGGTGCTCTGACTTTCCAGGCGACGGGTGAGATCTGCTGCAGAAACTCCGCCTCAGAGGCTTTAGGGTTTAGGGTCTTAGGGCTTTAGGGGTTTAGGGGTTTAGGGCTCAGGGCTTTAGGGTTTAAGGTTTAGGGTTTTATGGTGTAGGGTTTACCGGTTTTAGGGTTTAGGGTTTAGGGTTTTAGGGTTTAGGGCTTTAGGGGCTTAGGGTTTTTAGGGTTTACGGGTCTTAGGGTTTAGGGTCTTAGGGTTTAGGGTCTTAGGGGCTTTAGGGGTTTAGGGTCTTAGGGGTTTAGGGTCTTAGGGTTTTGCAACAGGATTGAGATCAGCAGTGCCCATCTGTACAATCACCTGTAACCCTATCGGTTCAGGAGGGGCCCCTCTTTTCCTGCAGAAGCCTTACGGCTACGATCGAGCTACGCGCTCGCATGGAAAACAGCTCTCGGTGAGCTTGCGCGAGACTTGAGCCCCAATACGTCTACCTCTGCTCGTTTATATCCGCTGCATTGGTAGCGGAGCGGCACAGATCCGGTGGACCAGTCTTCTAAGAATCCTGGCCCCACTGTCGAGGAGTGTCGCTCCAGAAGCTACAAGAGGAGCAGCCTTACTTTTCGAGATTCAGATTCTTCCTGCTGCCCTCTGCCCGCCTGAACAAGGAATAACTACTGGCGGTTTTCTTCGAGTCTTTTGGTTGAGTTACAATTTTCCTTCGGCATGTCAGATGTTCGTGATCGATCAGTGATACCCAGCTGGGA